CCTACGAGCGGGGCGGCGACGTGTCCCCCAGCCCCTACAGCAGTTGCAGCTGGCGTCGCTCCCGGAGCCCCTACAGCCCGGTGGTCAGGTGAGTGCCCTCGTCCTGTGTGTCTGATTCTGCCTACGCTGCCGGGGGTGAGAAAGTTGTGGTCCGACCCTTCCCTGGAGAACGGGAGGGCGAGGCGTTCTCGCGCGCCCACGGCGCCGCAGGACAGGGCCGGAGGGAGCACGCCACTGGTCCGAGGGTCGCTTTCCCCCCTAGGGCTGGGAGGGGAGATTTCCCAGGAAGAGTGCAAAGTTTTGTTTTGTTTTTAGCTTGTTCAGTGGCGAGAGTTCTCAATTGCTCTTTGCTCTTTCAACCCAGTGGCTTTGGGTAAACCTCGAGGTTGCGTGGTTTGTCTTAATTTGGTAAACTTCGTAAAGAAGTTTCCTCCGAGATTTCAGAACGGAGTGCCGTTTTTTGGCTAATGTACAGGGAAGATCAGAACCCCGTTCTGATGTCAGTGTTGGATATGAATTGCAAAGGTGTCATAATTAATGATGGGAAAAGCAGTCTTTCTGAAAAGTGTATATGTGGAAAAAACTAATATGTGATTTTAAAAAAGCTCATAAAAACTAATCGATATGTAGGATTAGTAGTATACGTGATCTGTCAAAGCCATGATTATGAAGAAAAACATTAAGACAAGTTACTGGTTTCTCTGTTGGTTTGTGATAACATCCAGTTTTTGATAATCTAGTTGCTGTAACCCAGTATTAACGAAGTAAACCTGTAACTGCTTCCCTTAATGTTGGCCAGACTTTTGCTGTTTTTTTTTTTAATGTCAGAATCTTTGTTCGGATATTTAAAGGGTGTAATTTAATGAATTGGAGTAAACTTACTTAATGGTTACATCTTATTTGCATTGACATCTTGTTTATTTGAGCAAAGTACATTAATAACGAGTGTTGCACAAACTGTCATATTCCTTGGGATGTATGGAAATTCTATGGCTTAAAAAGTTTGGGGTATTGCAAAATGACGTTTGGATTGCATGTTCCTTTTCTATTGATCTTAGTTTTCAGTTATGCCAAGTGAATGCTGACTCCCTCAAAGTATGGGTTATGTTGAATTTCAATGCACCCTGTGCACCTGTAAAATTAGTAGATTTCTTTGAAGTGTCATCTTGGTGTTAGTTAAATTGTGACGTGAGTAGTGCTCTAGGTACAAATTGCTTTTAAACCAAAACAGCTGTGTAAATTTCCTTTAGTCTTACCGCGTTTCATTTAAACACATTTAAAATGCTGGTTGGTGCCATAAGCAAAGAATGTTTCCATTGAGAACTCATAGCACCAAATTTAGCATTTGTAAGACTTTATGTTTTACTTTCAAAGGTAATGTTTTAGGTGTGGCAGATTTGCATTTTTAAAAAATTGGCAAATTCGGAGTTTGATATAATTTAAAAGTGGATTTTGTATTTATCAGGCCTTTTGGTTGCTGGAAACAGCGTAGTTCTTTATTTTACAGTAGTGACATGTGAATAAGACTGTTCAGCTTTAGTTCACATTTGATTATTAGCATATTTTATGCCAGATATTGTTATAGGGAATAGAACCCTGGTGCCGTAGTGGGTTGTGTGTTGGACTGCAATTGGTGAGTCCAGTAGTTCAAATCCACCCACTAGTCACCACTAGCCACCCCCTGGGAGAAAGATGAGGCTGTCTCCTGTTAAGCTTTCCAGTCTCAGAAACCCATAGGGGGCAGTTCTACTCTTGCCTGTGAGGTCACTGTGAGGAGGAATGGATGACAGCGGTTTTAGTTTGGGGTTTGTTACTAGATACTGGAACACAGTCCAGAAGACAGACACGGAGGCATAGAGCTTGTGTTATAGAGGATCATTCATTATTGAGTCTTTTCACCGTGTTTATAGAGGGACCGCTGAGAATTTTAAAGAATTTGACTCTGAAAAAAGTTTTAGAATATTTTGGCTATTATACCTATTGGCAAATGTCCATTTGGTATGTGCTTGAGTATATCTAGATGAAGAAGGCATTTTTTTTCTTTGAGGTAATTTGTCTTTTAGATTTGGGATTTGAGTTCTATATTTGGCTTGCAACAAAAGTAAAACAACAGCCACTGTTCCTTTCTTTTTAACAAACAAACAATGCTTTAGGTGAAATTTTACGTGGCACATTAGTTTTGCAATCTATAAGTCATACACAAATTGTTCCATGGCATTGATTGTCACACCCCCGCCCCCCGCCCCCTCTGTGTGTCCTTTTTCTTATCTGGGTTTCCTATTTCCAATTCTTTTGGCTTCCCTGTTTCCTTATTTTTGGTTTTGGGCACATGTTTTACTTTTGGTCTCTTACAGTTGATTCTTCTTCTGTTTGGGTGTTGCTTGCTTCATAGGTATATTGCTGGTTGAATTGCTAACTGAATGTGGCCTCCTAGAGGATCTCCAGTTTTCAGCTACCAGGTTTTTTAGGGCTATAGATTTTTCCATTCTCTTTCAGACTAATATGTCTATTTCTTATTTTATTTGAATTTGTTCTACATTTTTAACTCATTCTTTCCAGGACCTTTTAATGTGCTTCTGGTTAAACTCACTGTCCTCAAGTCAATGCTGACTCAGTGACTTGCTGTGGGTTTCCAAGTCTGTCTCTTGAAGAGCTCCTACTGATTTCGAACTGCCAACTATTCAGATTGCAGCCCAACAAATTACCACTACACCACCAGGGCTTGTGGTAGCCAGACACCATCTAGTTCTTCTGGTTTTAGGTGAGAGGATGCTGTGGTTCATGTGGTCCATTAGTCCTTTGAACAAATTGTTTCCTTTAGTCTGTATTTTCTTCATTCTCCTTTGCTCCAGGCAGGATGCTTACCAGTAGTTGTTTCAAAGGGTTTAAGACTTGAGGTGATGTGTACCAGATTGAGATGTAGAACATTTGTGAACTGTGCTTTGTTAATTCACCAAGGTGTCCCTCACAACTCTATGGCCCGTCGTCTTCAAGTCCAGTAGTTCTAGGCCTGATGTCTAAGTTGCCACTACGTATTTCCCAAAACTCTTGGAAATTCAGTTTCCTCATCGGTAACAGGAAAGGACTTATTTTGGGGGTTCTTTCAAGATTTAAATGAAATTTTGTATTTCGCAATCTATATAGCATTATAGAGATTCAAGTGGTTGAATAGCTTGAATTGTTAAAATTCCTCCTATTGAAACAAATTTGCCTCTGTGTAATTTGTTTATTCCTCCCAAGTTTGACCTTTTGGCAGGTCACAGACAAACCTGTGTTAGTTCTTGAAATATAAAGACAATTGTCATGTCTTCAAAGTCTTGTCTTCTCTAGACCAAAGACACTGAATTTAAAATTAGTATAAAACTCACTGCTATTGAGTTGATTTCAACTCATAGCAACAGAGTAGAATTGCCCCTGTGGGTTTCTGAGACTGTAAATATTTAATGGAAGAAGAAAGCCTCATCATTGTCCCACTGAATGAACAGTTGGTGGTTTTGAATTGCCAAAGCCCAATGCGTAACCCATTACACTACCAGGCCTCCTCAAATGTAGCCCATGTATGCTGTAATAAATAGTAAGATGATCTTATTCCAGGTCATATGCAAGTTATATATTAATGAAATTGTCTGTGCAACTTTAAAAAGGAAATACATTTATATTAAAAATAGTATTAAAATCATGATCCAAAGATTTTTCTCCATGATAATCCACACAATAAATCCTGTCCATTTTAATGATTTCTCCATCTGCTCATTACGTTCATCGGGATTTCCAGTCTTGAGCTCATGCTTTTCATCAATTCTTACTCTATTTTTCTCCTTAAATAACCTGTTTACTATATTTTGTTTACTATTCAAAACCACCAGCTTCTCCTTGGGAGAAAGAGGAGACTATTTACTACTTTTTACTCCTGTATAGAATTACAATCTCGGAAACCCACATGGTCATTTCTACTGTGACTGGCTTGTTTTGTCCATCACCCCCCCTTCTTGGTTGGGATGTGAGAAGTCATTTAATCTTGCTGATTGGCCCTATGATAAATGTAAGGGTGTGCTCAACAGAGGCTGGTTAGGAAAGGGAAGAAATGGTACTGATATTTATGTTTTACTGTGTACTGGTTAAGGTCCTGCAGGAGCCCTTATGGTATAGTGGTTGTGCGTTGGGCTGTAATCCACAAGGTCAGTAGTTCTAAACCACCCGCTGCTCTGTAGGAATAAGATGGTGCTTTCTACTCCGATAAAGAGTTGGTCTTTGGAAACTCACAGGGTCAGTTCCACCCTGGCCTAGAAAGTTGCTGTGAGTTGGCGCTGACTCTGGCAATGAGTTTAGTTTTGAATAAGTCAAGGTCTTTGGGTGGTGTAAATGCTTTGCTCTTAAATATTAGTCAGAAAAGGAGCCCTGGTGATGCAGTGGTTAAGCTCTTGACTGCTAACTGAAAGGTAGACAGTTTGAACCCACCAGTTCTTGCTTCTGTTATGATTACAGTCTCTGTTCCATAGGCTAAGTTATGATTGACTTGATAGTGATGGGTTTGGAGTTACTTTATATTTGATTGACCACAAGGTTGGCAATTTGAATCCACTCAGTGGAAAGCTTGATGATCCGTTTTCATGAAGATTATAGCAATTCTGAAACCGTATGGAGTACAGTTCTACTTTGAAACACATGAGAGTCACAACCACCTTCCCCCCCCAATGTGCCAGTCATTGCTAAATATTTAGCACATATCCAACCAAAACCCATGTGAATAGTCAAAAACAGTACCATTGACAGATTGAGAAATGGGAAGCTCTCAAAAGTTAGTTATTTGTTTCAAGATTAGCTTGGATCTAAACCCAGCCCTGACTCAGAATTACCTGCTGTATTCAGTCAACCTTAGCTGGCTTTTACAATAATTGACCACTTTACATATGGTCTCTTCTGCAAAAACTCATTAAAGTCTGGCTGTTGTGTTGTTGGTTAGGTGCCACCAACCTGGTTCTGACCCTATAGTGACTGTATGCACAACAGAAACAACAGAATGAAACACTGCCCGGTCTGTGCCATCCTGTTCTTGAGCTTATTGTGCAGCAACAATGTCAGTCCATC